TGCTTGCTCCTAGTAGCGATTACTAGTAGCTTCTTGTTACTAGTAGCGATGGCCTCCAACCATAGCGATGGCCTCCACTTAGTAGCTTCTAGTTACGGCTTAAGTTGCCAGGTTGTAAAGTCACCGCTGCATCATTGAAGAACAATTAGGCTGTCGATTTAGCATTCCATGCTGAGCTGAGGAAAGCAATTGCCGAATGGATTCACTCCATGCCTGCGGAAAACTTGCCTAGCGAGCTGCATTTGTCACACAACCGCATCACTTTGAGCGGTTTTCACGATTTGGTGCAGGCAATTGAGCTTTCTTGGCAATTAGTAATTAGTTACGTTTTGTTTTGCTTCTGAAGTCAACTGTCAGAGACACGTCACCCGGGTGGTGGTGGTGGTGGTGGTGCTAAATTAAATCGCATCTCACTGCGCATCATTGGATTCTGATGATTTTGTGGAACATGCGTGCTCACCATCTCTAGCCACAAGCCAACGAGAGTTGTGGATTTCTCGTGTGGCAGACCTGCTATTGGCTATTCTCACCTTCATTTGATCTGATGCTGATTGCACAGCGCCGATGTTGTGCAGTATGTTTGTGCTCATTTGCCCCTGAGCCTCCATGAGATAGGCCAATTCAAGACTGACCGGCTAGGCCAACCTAATAGCTTAAGTTTCCCTAATTATTGTTTGAAACGAGCGTGAGCTATCCTGTGTCCTGGGCAGTAGCTTAAGTAAGGTAGTAGCCACTTCTTCTACTAGCTAAATTTGCGGCCTACCCCACCCCCCGGGAAAAACACAGATGTCAGTACTTTGTGTCGACTTTGTACTGCAGCTCCGAGGAGTCGAAATGGCGCCAACTTTCAAGACCTCCAGTGTGGCTTCGTGTCGAGGGGAATGGTGTGGACGATTCTGCCATTTGTGCTTCCAGGTTGCACGAATACATAACAGCTTCGAACGCGTGGGCAAACAGGGCAAGCTCCTCTTTGCTTCAAGGCTCTTGTTACAGCCGGCCGGGCCGTTCTAGCGGCTAGCCTGAGAGCTCCTGAGCGCCAGAGCGGCAAGGTTGGCTTGGCACACATTTGTTTTCTTGTGGTTCTTGTTTGTCCTCCGTATAGAGCGATGGCCTTCAACCTAATAGCAATGGCCTCCAACCTAAGAGCAATGGCCTCCAACCTAAGAGCGATGGCATCCAACCTAATAGCATCTAATAGCAATGGCCCTCAACCTAAGAGCCTTGGCCTCCAACCAAAGAGCGATGGCCTCCAACCTAGTAGCAATGACCTTTAACCTAATATATATATATATATATAAAACATACGTAATCATACGTATATATATATATATAGATTTTGTGTAGATCTTTGGAATTAAAAGACGTCGTTGCCCTCTTTCTTCCGTTTTCCGCTCCAGTGATGCACCACTGGATTTGAAGGTGCCTTTGTCATTTCCATCTTTTCATGGAAAGTCTTTGCAGCACTCGCCTCAGTTGACAATTGTATACGCAACTAACTTGCTGAAGCAACAGCGTGACAAGGAATGCAACTTCTACTTTGCAGGTGTGAACTGTGAGCTAAGGCTTCACGATGCACCGTTCCAGCTGAAGCCATTCCAGCGTCAAAATGAAATGTTTGGTGGGTCCAATGCAAAAACACATGCCAACTGCCCCAGCAACCTCCCAATGTCGAATGCTGCTCTCCTCGCCAGTGACTTCCAGGCAAGCAGCGCCTCAGGAGTCAGCATGCAGAGCACCCCTTGCAATGTGCAGTCTGCTCATGTGTTCCCTCCACTCCCACCTTTGCCATCTGATGGCCACGGACCCCCCACAATGCATTCGAGTCCTTCAAGCTGGGCAGCCCACGGACCCAAGGAAATGACCATCACAGCAATCTCTCAAAGCCATCGAAGTCATGACATGCCCTTCTCGCACCCAAGCCGCGGGGGCTCTGCGGGCCAAATGCAGCACTTCGCACCCATAAACTCTGGGCTTGGAAGCCCCCAGCCTCCTGCCATGCAGGCCAATCATGGTAGCTGGGGTTGCAATGGGGTAGGGTGTGGGGTGTTTGGCAACTGTGGCTGTGGTGGATGTGCTGGTGCCTTCAGTCCACCATTTGGAGGCCAGCAAGGGCAGCAAATGCAACCCGCGCAAGATCAGTTGTCATTTATGCAGCAGAGCCAGATGCAACTTATGCAATCACTCCCAACGCAGGAGTTCCAAAGCATGCGAGGTCACACACACCTGCAGCCAGTGCAGCCAATGCATGCCACTGGACACCCCCAGCTTCAAAGCCCTACTCAAAGCTTCACAGGCCCTCAACTTTCCGCACAACCAGCCTTTCAGCATCCCTTCGAACATCCCACACCCACGGAGCAACATTCTCAGCGATTGGTTGGCTCACGTGGACGTTCTCGCAGCCCGCGCCACGGCGTGGAATCAAGAAGTGCACCTCAATCTGGCGGTGAGCTTGTGTGAAAAGAAGCTTCAGCGAGGTTTGCCATAGGAACGAGTGAACCCAGAGTGGACGATTCTTTTTAACGCGTCATAGTAAACTCAGCGGAATCCTCCAAGATCGAAGTAGTGCAGTAGCATTGTGCCACTGTTTGTTCTCTTCATTTAATGGCTTGTGGCTCATGTCATGAGGAGATTTAACGTCACATGTTATTTCTGCCAACCTTAGAGTGCCACAGCGCAGCAGAATAGTCGAGTCAAGCGCACACCTACACTTCCGATGCCTCATGGGAAAGCGGGCAGTGGAGAATGCAGAAGAAAAGCTTTCTGCAGATCTTCAGCGCCTTTCAGTCGGTTATCAGCATCATCAGGAGCTTTCACCAGCAGCAGCTGCACATTTGCCCGCTTTGTCTTTCCAGGACCGGCATGTACAAGCTCCCCAAGAAGCGGCCTTGATGCGTTTGCAATGGTACTGTGGCTGCAAGAGTCAAGAAGTGAGAGAAACTGGTTTGGGTCCTTAGATTCCATAGATGTCCATTGCTTACGATAAAGCTACTCTGACGCTTAGATTTGGTTTAATTTGATGTGTGATTCCCATTTGGAATCACTTCTTGGCCAGAATTGCCTCGCAAGGTATGACCGTTTGCTTGAAGAGGCTCCGCAATGTGAGGCCAGTTGCCTTAACTGGAAGGCGAGGATGAGTGGTGACCGCTTTCACAAGAAGGTGGCTATGGGTATGAGCACCGTAACCAGGCTTGGGCAAATTGTGGGGTTTGCCTCTACCATTTGGGCGAGAAGAAGCTCAGCCAAAGTGACTTTGGTACAATGTGCACGGTGACCCCGCGTTGTGAGCCAAGGAAAGCCAGCTGGGCCACTTGGCAGCGATTGATATACCGTTTTCGTTTCAGAGAGGGGCGTGAGGCTAGTTGAAAGATTGCATGCGAGGACGCCTATGCACAAGCCGCGAATGCTCTTGAAGGTTTTCGTGTTGAATTGACCGATGATGCCTTTCTTCGTAATCCGCATGCAGCTCGACAACTTATATAAATGCTTTCATGGTGTTGGTTTAGGCTGCAGGATTTGCTTTGGACTGAGGTGGGTAAGTACATGCGGGTGCTGGACCGGGAGTTCCACGAAGGTTCCTGGCATTGGGAAGAGGCACGAGACTGAGGACACGCTCCTGCGACAAACCGGGATGGTACAGTTATACGGCATGAAAGACTTGAAAGCCATAGAGGCAGAGAGGCGCAATTTGCTATACAATGTTTCCAAATGTTTCCAACATGCGTTACAGCAACCCTCTCGATCATCTCAGGCAAATGATGTGGTGCTGTTTGCATTGCTGGTTCAGCGTGGTCGTGCTGGCGAGGTTTGCACACAGCGTTGGCATGAGCGCTCTGGGCTGAGAGCCCAAGTTGCCTTCGACCAGTCAACCAGTGACTACAGTGACTACAGTAACAGGGGATGGTGTATAGGACGATTCCAGAGGTGAATAGCAGATAGCAGCTTGCACAGGATGCCACGATGTCCTAGGCCTGCCCAACCACTACTTCGCAGTTATGCACGTGCCGCTCCCAAGAGATGCACTTTGGTTGTATCCGTCTCATTGCGTTTGATGTGTGTTGGCCCTTGAAGCAGCATAATCACAATTGTGGTGGTGTGTATCATTTTTGTCTCAAGGCGTCAACTCTTGTGAACAAAATGTGAACAATGTGATGCTCCGCAGATAGTTGTAGTTTCATGACTCTCTTTAAAGGTGCTTTGCATGCAGCTGAGCAAGCCTGACCGTCCCCTGCAAGAAGTTTGTCCTGACGACTCCCGTAGCTTGATTGCCTAAGTCAAGGGGTGTTATTTGGAATTGACCAGTTACCAGTTGTTGAATAAACCCGACAAAAGCCTCGGTCCACGACCGAACTACCCCAGACTGCTTTCAAAAAACATGCTTCTAGGTCTTGGAGCGAAGTTGATTTGATGCTTAAAGTACCGTTAAGCGATTGGGATGCAGGGAGGCCGAGATTGATGTATATACGGCATATGTGTCTCTCCATCTCTTTGTCCATGCTGCATGTTGACTTTTTGATAATTGATTTCAAGCATAAGTAGCATTAGCGGCAGTTGAGCCATAGTTTCTTTCGGCCATAGTTTCTTTCAATTCAATGGGCAGCCTTACATGCATGGAAACCCGCCCCAGGTTCATAGGGTCTTTATATATATATATATGCGAACCATAATTATATATATATATATTATATGTAAGAGTTCAGATCGGTTGGTCAGCGTTTGTCAAGGTTCCGCGTGACCTTCCTGCTGCGACTCTGCGAGTTGAGGTTGCCATAATGATGTCTTAGGAGTCTTGTCGGTTAAATACAAAAACAAGGTAACACGCCCGCGCACAGCCATGTGTTCATAACATATGTACATACTTCAAGAACCCTAAAGTTTACGCTTCTTACTCTGTTCCAACATGACACTTGCGGTCTACAGCGGATCGGATTAACACGTCCATTTTGCGTGGCAGGTACAGCACGGTCAGATTTCCACACCCGTTTAAATTATAATATTTATAAGGCTTTCAGGTGTGGAAATCCGACCGCAACTGAGGTGTCGACATGTTGCACGTAGGATTCTAAGGGGAAAGGGTTTGTGATGTTTTAGAAGTCAAGAAGCGCAACTTTTGGCACCCCAGTGCGTTATTAGCCTTGTGTTTACAACTAATCATGAGAAATGTTGTCAGGTTC